TTATGTATGCTTACGTATCTCTTGGCGCGGTCTACGACCTCCTTCCCCAGCTATCAAATACGACCCCCTTCACGGGTTTCGCTAACGCACTGCTCCCAGAACTCGAATATCGCGTGTGCTCATAGCGAAGCTGCACCAAAGCTATAGGCGGAAAGGGGGGGGGGTCGCCGGCGCACTCAGCGCACATTCAGTCTTGTTCGCGCTGCTGAAGGGGCGTGTCAGAAGGCTGGGATAGGGGCACCGCCGAGTTCTCCACGTTGTTGAAGGCGGATAAGCGACATCAAGTTGTGGAAAATGGTTGGTACAGTTCTGTCACCTGCCGAAAGAAAAAAGGCTGGAGCCGCGCCTAATCCGTCCTTGCCCTGAAATGGGCTGGCACCCCGACTATACATCAACATACATGGCCCGCGTCGAACAGAACTCTATCTAATGTATTCGGCCTGTTCAAATGTCCCGACAGAACTAAGGTCAGAACCGAAACCAAATCGGAGGAACTAACTTCGATCAATATCGGGTCGGAATTTCGTTCGTTGAGCCACCGTGCCATTCCGAATAAAATAGCCCTTATTCTGTGGAAAATAGTGGTAGTCACAAAGTAAAAAAGTTTCTGCTAACCTCGGGGAACTCCAGACTGCGGACATCAGCGCTTCTGAATATCTTCAAAAGGCAATGTTCAAACTTTATAGAGGATGCAATGTCAGACGTTTTGCACTGACCACTCATAATTAGATAATCCTTCAGAACCAGATTGAGGGCTTGTCCAATATACTGAAAGTATACGCCATCATTTCGGTTTCATTTTTTTTCAGAGAATTGTAGCTATACTGCACGCTTACTGAAGAGTTGGTCATGAGCGGTGCGACAACTAGAACTTCTCGTGGTGGTCCTAGCGCGAAATGCCAGAGCGCTAAGAAACGAAGGACTGCGGCTGCAAAGGCATCAAAAGTGCAAAAAACCTTCTGCGAATGACGCCGTGAGCTTTGTTGAGGAGAAGGAGTTTCTGGTGTGGACGAGTTCACTATCAGGATAAAAGTATGAATGCATAAGGGTCACTGTGGAGAAAGACTACCATGTAGAGATGAGAGCGCAGAGAATAACAGAAAGTTGGCGCGATTAAAGGAATCAAGTTTCATTTGTGTGGAGACCGCTGGTGTGTTGCCAACACTTTCGCTGAGGGACCTACGGCGACAAGGTACGTGTTGTCACCCTGCCAAGGTAGGCGACCACAGAACTGTGGGGAATAATGAAGCTCCAGCAAAACGTGAGAGGGCTCAGACACTCCTGGGAAAAGGGTTGGTCGTGCGGCGTGTTGCGTGTCTGCAAGGTGCATTACTTGCTATGAAAGACCTAGAAGAACGTTCCAACAGCCTCATCCATAGAGCGCATCACTTTTTTCATGTAGTCGGAACGACACTCTTTCACAATTTCACAGTTACGGAACTTCTTATATGTGACAACACAATCGTAAGATGTAGTTCTGGTGGGCGTGGCGAGCGACCCGCGCCCGACAGACAGTTATACTGCCTCCACTGGAATTAATGTGCTAAAGGGACGGAAAAGAAATTGTGGTTGTCATGAAGTCTTGCCCCTGTTTGAATTTTTACACGTTTCGCTGCTCCAATCGACAAGATCATGCTGGTCGAGCTTTTTTCGCCCGTCGTCGGTCCCATCGCGCACGAAGACGCGACAAATTACGGCTGTCTTGTCCGTCTACCCTGCCCACTTCGCCGTGGAAGGACCAACTTTGCAGGTAAGCGTACAGTGGGTCTTTGAATTGAGTACAAATAATAAAACTTTTAAAGGGAAATTATAAAAGAGAGATTAATTCTAACTAACCAATGACTTTTTTATTCCTTCCTCGGGACAATATACGTCGACATATATAGTGGAATCATACATCTGAAACATGAATATCCGTTGTCATCATTTTCGAAAGTCTTCCAAAGCAACTGTGAGAACCGATTCGTGGAAAGAATGGAGAAGGCGGGGGCGGTGGCCCTCCTGTATAATTTGGTAAGCGCGTTCGGCTTGGTAGGTGCATTTTTTATGGGGTTCCCGTTGGTCTATTCCGATTCCTCTTGTTGATGCCTGTGAGCTCCTGTTAAGCTATACAATAGCAGCGGCTTCGTAAGCACTTGAAAAGAGTCTATAGATCTCACCAAGGTGACTTGTAATTCAACAGGATTTAACAAAGGGAAGTAGCAAATGCAAATGTAATATGCCCCCCCCCCTAAGCAGATCAGCGTCTTTCTTATGGAACGGACCGTTCGTATCTTGAGTTCTTCAATGGATCTTCTTTTCATCCATCTCTCGTTGCACCGTATCAGCTCGAACATATCTCGATTCAATAGGCGACAACTATCAACATCTCTCCGGCTCAGATTTCGTAGAATTTTCACTTGTAATTCCTCTCGGAAGAAGATACCATGGGAAATAATCCTGAAAGTACGAGATAACGACTGACTTAAATAAAGACTTCTTATGGCTAGGAATTATTGTTAAACTAGGCACACTCCTCATCACGAAATGGGGTGGGCGTGGCCGCGCTTCTCACTTGTCCAAGACATGGGAATTGTTTTTCGTGGCATATTTCTATTCACGGCATCTGCCGTCTTCTATTCGGCGAAGACGTGATAAATTGTTCCAAAAAACAAACATAGGATAAGTGAAGCACACCCCATGGAATGGAGCACCCCGCCACGCCCACCCTGTCCTCGAGATACGGAGCTTATTTATCGCTAACTACAACAGGGGGATATGGCAATGTTTGTATACCGTGTCTGAAGGGATTGGACAAAAACTCACCCTCGTCAGGGGCTGTGAGAGATCGTGAGTACCACACTCCATAACGGCAATATTCGACTCACCACC